GACCCAGAAACTGATGAGAATCAGCCAGATCAAACGAGGCAGAAAGAAGGCTCAGAGGAGGCTTTCCCAGCCCATCAGGGCTTGCTGGCGATGCAAATTCCTTTTATAATTAAAAGAGACATCGTGGTCAGTAGAAAACAGGAATGGGAACAAACGAGGCTAACTTGTTGGCCCGATCTCCTCGGTCCTTCCTCAATGGCACGTTATCCCCGCGCTGCTGGACGGTGTGACCAAGGTTCTCAAATCTTTGCAAGGCCAGCAACCAACACAGATATGGCTTTGGATATACGGACAGAGGCCAATGCCTTATCTCTTCATGAAATACCTGAAGAAAACTTTGGGTGGAAACTTGGTGCAGCTAATTATGTAACTCTATTAAAATGTAATTTTTTTTAAGAAAATAGGAATAACATTATAGTTGCTACCAACAAATAATGAAAACTGATTTGAGAAAGATCAATTAGAGGAACTGGGGGGAGGGGGGAGAGGGATCAAAGTGGAGATTTCACTTTTCTACTCTCCTTGGAGATTTTTTGCGAAACCAAAATGTTTGTTTTGTGTTTTTTGCTTTTTTTTGTTGTTAAAAACCAAAATGTTACAAGTTTTTCCTAGTAACTTTTTAAAGGGAAAATTTAAAAAGGACTTTCAGGGAAATGAGCTGTGTTCCCATTCAGATTAATACTGGACCAACAATGGATCAAATACATGTGAAGTGTTTAGCACAGTGCCTGGCATATACTAGGCCAGAGGTGGGGAATCTGCAGCCTCGAGGTCACATGTGGCCCTCTAGGTCCTCAAGTGCGACCCTTTGACTGAATCCAAACTTCACAGAACAAATCCTTTTATTAAGGGTAGCAACTAGGGGCTATAATATATGTTTATTCCTCCCCCATGGAAGGCAATCTCAGATGGTAGGCTCTCAAGGAGGGAGGGGGAACTGAAAAAAATTCTTCTGCTTTGAGTTGAGTCTTGAAGGAAGTCAGGGAAGCCAGGAAGTGGGGTCCCTGGGTGTTTCTAATTCTGTTTTCCAGCCTACAAATTACTTATTTGTACATAGAGTCCTTCCAGTAGAACGTAAGCTCCTTGAGAGTAGGGATTGTATCATTTTTGTCTTGGTCTCCCTGGAACTTAGTATAGTGTCTTCAACATTGGTATAATGATCTCTCAATGAGGGAACCTTTCCCTTCTCAACCCCCCTACCCCCATGCAGAATGACATCTTCTAATCTTTGAGAGCTGCCTGGGGTCATTGAGGCATTGAAGGACTTGTTTAATGTAACACCAGTAGTCTGAGTCGGAGATAGGACATGAACCTAGGTCTTCCAGATTTTGAGGCCACTATGCCAAGATGCCTTGAATATGGTAGACGCTTGATAAATGTCTATTGAACTAAATTAAAATGTCCATCTGTAAGAAGGTCTATTTGGGCTGGTTTTTCTGAGTTCTTTCTTCCCCCTCCAGCTGTTATGTTCATGACAACAACAATTCCACTGAAGTCTCACTTTGATCCCTCATCATGCCATGGAGGGGACCATGAGTTCTCAAAAGCGATGGCCAGAAAAGAACAAGCTCTCGTCTTTCTAGAGGATCACAGATTTAGAATTGGAAGGGACCTTGGGAACCTAAGGCCTGGAGAGCTTAAGGGACTTGTTCAAGGTCACCAAGAAAGTAAATGGCAGAGCCAAAATTTGAACCCAGGGCCGCTGATTCTAAATACAGCATACTTTCCTCTGAAACATGGTGCCACTGATTTCTGCCAAGCTCAAAAGGGTTTGAACAGAGATGAAAAAAATATATGTATGCATATACATATGCACGCACACATGTATATATTTATATACATGCTTAGACATAGACACATATATCCACATGTGTACATATATACATACATGCATATATACACAGAGATACATACATATACACTCAGATGCATGCTGGTTAGGTTACATCAAGAGTACCACAATGGCACAAATGCTATAGATAGATACATTGGCCAAATAGTGATTAAAACCAAGTGGATGAAGAGTGCCCATTGTCCAGAGTACAGACTGGGATATCCAGATGAATGGACGACATGTAGAACTCATTCATCAGAATATTTGGGTATGTATGTGTGTGCGTGTGTATGTGTGTGTGTGTGTGTGTGTGTATTTATGATTTTCAACAGACACTGTAGGAGGAAAATGAGTTAGGCTGACTATTGAACAGAAGGAGAATGAGTTGAACCGCTTTAGGAAAATTGCAAAGTCCTTTTAATGAACCCCTAACTTCTTCCTGAAACAAAGGCCTGTCTTTTTCATACTCATCTTTTATTGATATTGTGCTGTGTCATGTCATGTCACCATATCACAGCTGCCAAGGAATTGAAGTTGAGGGTATAGTTGAGAGGTGTAGTATGTGTGAATGGGTAGCCCATTGCTAAGAAAGAATTTAGTTGGGCAAGTGGAGGAAAGATGTTCTTAAAGAAATGATTGAAAAAGAAGGTAGACTGATTACGTGGTGAGCATGAGGGCTCACTGCTGGACAGTACATGTGTTCCATTGGTATGCTCATGACATCCAGAGGATGGGGGGAGGGCCCCAGCACATTAAGTGGAGCCCTGATGTGGATTTGGGGGAGGCCATGGACGAGAGAGGAACACAGCATGAGAAGGCATGGATAGGTTGAGATTTGTACCATTGGAGGGAATACCACCCCCACTCCCCCACTGATGAGAACACAGACCTATTTGAATATCTGAGTAATGGCATTTTGAATGGGAAGATAAGAGCCTTGTGTTATTGTGGTAATAATGAAAACTTCCCAGGTGCAGTGATGATAATCTGTAATACTAAAGTGATTAGAGACCATAAACCATGGGAAGCATTTACTCAAATGAACATTATAGTCTCCAGAGTCCTCTGAATCTGTTTTGCCCTTTCAGTTTAAACGCAACAGCCCTTCCCAGTCCAATCCAAGATAGACCAAGGGCCCCCTTATTATGTATGGGTGAGCATCTCAAGCAGTGTACCAGAACAAGCAATGGAAAGAGACTTGAGTCAGACAACCTGGATTCAAATCCTGCCTGTTGCATGGTATTGTTATTGTTCAGTCATTTCAGTCATGTCTGACTCTCTGTGACCCCATTTGGGGTTTTCTTGGCAAAGACACTGGAGTGGTCCTCCAATTCCTTCTCCGGCTCATTTTACAGATGAGGAAACTGAGGCAAACAGAGTTAAGTGACTTGCCCAAGGTCATACAGCTAGTAAGTGTTTGAGGCCAGACTTGAACTCAGAACATGGGTCTTCCTGACTCCAGGCCCAGCACAATATCCCCTGAGCCACGTGTTGTATATGTGACCTACATCATCTTAGGCAATTTTATCTTCTTGAACCTCAGTTTCCTCTCTTGCCTGTTGCAGATTAAATAAGCCAAGTATGTAGAGATAGTTCTCTACAAAGAGTAAATTAACAAATTTCAGATTCTCTTTACTAGCCTAGGAAGAAAAAAAAAAGTTAGTAGTTACCGGAGGAGCATAATGACCCTGAGAGACGGCAAGAAAAGAAACCAGAGGGAAGGCTAACCCAAAGGGAAGCCAGCTGCAGGCCAGACTAGATGAGCAGCTACCATTGGAGGGGCCCAGGGAGCCTCGGAAGCATGTTATATCCTTTGAAGGAAAGTTTTCTAGGGCCATTTTATCCAAGCAAAATGCAGGAATCACAGTAACTCACCTGCCAGCTTCATTGTCAAACTTCATTGGAATCGCTGGTGACTCACACATGCTGTGAAATCATGTCACTCTTTTTTTTTTAATATCATTACAAATCATGTGCTACCAAGCTTTGTGCTCCTTGATCCAGGAGGGCTTAGCACCTTTACCAATTCCATTACTTTAATGAGCCCCAGAATGAAATCCATTCAGAACCTTGGCTTGCCATGTACTTCATCATGCAGTACTTCATAATAATCTCTAGAAGGGCAGAAGACTAATTCTGGAGGGTTGAGTGGGACTCTGAAAACTCCTATCACCTGATAACATAGGTGAGTTGAATACTCAGTGACAGCCAGGAAAGAAATGAAGGTGGGGGGCAGCAGGGGGCTGGAAATATAAATAGACCATTGCTGAAATTTAATTAGAGACAGCAAATGTTAATAATAAATTCAATTAATTTTGTCCTTCGATGCAGGGGAAGAGACAGGATAATAACTCATTGAAAATGCCTCAATTAGCAGCCTTCTTTCCTGAAGAGTGATTTATGCCAATAATGGACTAGCAGAGTTCTCATAAGATTGCTCCAAATCATCTTTTCTTTGAAAAAAAAATAATCATTTCCAAGGACACGTTTCGAGAGATACAGCAAATTATTCTTTAGAAAATTCTATTTATTATTCTTGCACATTTACTTGCTAATTGTTTGTAACTTCTTTTTGAAACCAAAATAGGTTATAAACACCTGAGCCATCACTTCTGAGACCAAACTTGAGGCAAAGTGAGTCTTCTTTCTGAATCTTGCACATGCTTTTTGAAGGTCAGTTAATTGCTACACTCCTGAATTTCAGAGGCATTCCACCCTCTTCCCCACCCCAGTTCAAGGGGGTGATTGGTCTTAACTTCTACAGTGTTGTTACAGAAGAAGAAATAAAAGCTATGAACCAGCCACCAATGGGTTTTAAGCATCCCTGATTGACCACATCAATTTAAAGAGTTTTTTTTTAAAGAGTGAAGCATAAACACAAAAATGAAGAGGTTCTTGTGAAAAAAGAAGTTTTTCTTTAACTAGACCTGTGGTCTGAAATACATATTAATGTCTAGGATGCAGTTTGATTCTGATTCCTAATAGCTTAAGTAAGACCTTTCGAAGAGAAAGGATGCTCTGGAAGCAATCCCAGTATTTTGAGAGCATTTCACACAGTTTATAAAGGCTGGTTTAGACGACAAAGTTAGGCTCCAAAGATCAGTCTTTCAATGGCCCCAAGGCACATGCACGGGTATTAAATAATTCAGGCATAATTGTTACTTACATGAGAACCGGAAAGGTCTCGCTCCCAAGCCACATTGTCGCACCCCTTCCCCGTGGAAAAGCCCGTACTGGAGCTCCCCAGTAAACTTCTCAAGCTCTTGTCCAGAAGCATTGACAAGCAGGGCTCCGGTCTTGCAAAGGATCTTGGCTTTGACCCACAGCTGGGTTCCTAAGGCTGTTATGACTCCAAAAGAACACGCAAAGCTGAGGATGCCAGCAGTGCAAAAGATGACCTTCTTCTGTTGGCTGGGCATGATTGGCAGCCAGGGAAAGCTTCAGAGAAAAGACAGCCTGGAGAAAGGGCACCGTGCAACTCCTCTGACTCCCATCATTGAGTCTGCACAACTGAACGCTTAGCTTTGCAGTCCACGGGAATCCTCTCTTGATTAGTTTCCTTGCATGCCAGTATTCAGAACATTCCTCATCTCAGACTCTTCTCCCCAGCTCTATTTCTTCTTGCCCTTCAGTTTGGGAACTTTGAATAAAGGCTCATCTGTAAAATACGACTTTGAAGAGTCTTCTTCTCCTCCTCCTCCTCCTCCTCCTCCTCCGTGTTACTTGGTAACAAAGGTTGAAGATAACAGATGGAGCCCTCTTTGTAATTTGATGAATGCCTCCTCTTTTCTCACCCGCTTTTGTCTGATTGGATGAGTTGAAACCTCTAGAAACAAGGTTGGCTCTTCTAAGTTATCAGCAACTTGAGAAGTTTTTTTTTTCTTTAATACAGGTTTAATTGAGGAAAAGACAAGAATAAAGGGGGCTATAGAACACACATACATTTTCTTTCCTATTTGTAGATATAAAGTCTTACCTATTCAGACTGCTCAAAGATTTTCATAGGCACACAGCAGGAACTGTGAATCAGGCAACTAGCTTAATTTGCAAGAGGTAACTCGGGATGATGACAATAGGATTGGACTTGAAATAAGAACGAAATTTGTACCCCATTCTGCTACTTCCTAAGGGGAAGTCTTGGAGTCAGTTAACTCCTTTGAGCCTCAGTTTCTCTCTCTGTGTAATGGGGAACAAGAATACTTGCACAGCCTATCTCACACAATTTTGAGGGCAGATCAAATGGGACTTTTGTCAACCACCTATTATAATTATGAAGATCAGTAACATGAAGAGGAAAGCATCCTGGATTTGGCTTAAAGCATGGAGCATTGATTCCTAGCTTTATCGGTTACTGTTGTATGATTTCTGTCAAGTCACTTAATATCTGGATCTCTGTAAAGGAAGAGGGCCTTGGACTATATCACCTCTAAGATCTCTTCCAGTTTGAAATCTATTATTTTGTGAGTCCCAGCCAAATCTCTAGATCTGGTAACTTCCCCTTCCTAGACTTCTAAGGGGAATGGCTGAAGGACACTTGGTTCAGTGGCCAAGTTTTCATAGCTTATAGTTCCTTGCCAAGGATTGTGACAAGACACACTTTCCTCTGTATTATCTGATTACTCGAGGTTAAAAATCAAGGGTTTCTATATGTAAGTATGCCTGAATTCTCTTTCGCTGGAAATTTTCCTCCTTCCCGGCTCCAGATCCCTTGAGGCAGGGAGGCCAGTGAAGTACACCTTGCCAGTCAGCAGATCATTGGGAAACCTGCCCATTACAGGACTTGTCTGGGTCTCTTGTTAAGATCTAAAAGGGCTTTGCAGAAAAAATTAGACAAGCTAGTCCATTCTGAAAGCAACTGGCTCTTTTATTGGAGCTGTTTAAGGAAGATTCCCTGAAGAGAAATCCATGAGGGTTAACCGCAGGCACTCAAAGAAGGTAGGGAAGGGGATCAACAACAAGAGAAGGTGCTAGGGTGGCCCAGTGAGCCCCTCCATATCCTGGGGCCAGGAATGAGCCCTCCAAACAAGGGCAGCCTCGCAGGGGAGTGAAGACTAGTAATTCCAAAGTGAAACTAAGAAGGGACAGAAAGGGATGTTACTAGAGAACCTGGGGCATAATGGTCTTCATGTCATGATAGGGAGAGGGGGTCCATGTTTAAGGACCGTTTTAAGGTCAGTACAGCTTTTGGATCTTCATGAGTGTAACCACCATCACTATCATCATTATCAGCAGCAACAGCAGCATCATGGCCACCATTTATATATAGCACCTACCATGTGTCAGGCACCAAGTTAGACTTTATGTAAATATTACCTAATATGATCCTCACAACTACCCTAGGAGGTTAGTAAGTACTTATTACTATAATTTATAATAATATAATATTCTTTTATAATATTATATTTTATAATATTTTATATTATATTAAATATTTATATATTAAATAAAATATTAAATATTTTATAATAATATTATATTCTTTTATATTATTATAAATTATCCCCATTTTACAGATGAGGATGAGGCAAACACAGGTTAAGTGATTTGCCCACGGTCAAACAGCCTCACATAAGTGTCTGAAGCTGGATCTGAACTTAGGTCTTCCTGAATCCAGGCCCAGAACTTACTCCACTGAGCCAGCCAGCTGTTTTGATTGGTCCAGGATCAGAGACAGTCAGTTGGTTTTTTATGGAGGGGAAGAATCTTACTGAGGAGAGGCAGGGAGCTACTGAGGTTTTCTACTCTGGCATGTTCCAAGGATGGGCGTGGGATAGGAGGTTGGCAGAGAAGAGTCAGGGTAGAAGGGAAGGGGGTATTGGGTATGAGGAGGGGATATGACCAACGTGGACAAAAAAAAAAGACAAGGCCAGAAAAAAGAAGGTTCTCTGACCCACTGTATAGAGATAGCAGAGTTCAAACTTCAGATTGCCATTTCCAATAAGAATCTTCGTTTATGTGGAGAATTTTCTTGTTGTAGGCTGATAAAAAAAAAAGTCCCCTTCAGGCTTATAGGGCAATTAGATGGCACAATGGATAAATTATTGAACCTGGCATCAGGAAGTCTTGAATTCAAATTTGGCCTCAGATACTTACTAGCTTTGTGACCATGGATAATTCATTTAGCCTCTGTCTGCCTCAGTTTCCTCATCTGTAACATGGAGTAGCTTTTCTACAATGTATAGTCTTAGAGAGTTGTCTCAAGCACTGGGAGAATGACTTGTCCAGTTATGCAGCCACTAGATGATTACAGTGGGACTTGAACCCAGGTATTCCTGGTTTGGAGGTCAACTCTTTCTACCATGCCATATTGACTCTACTCCCTGAAATATTATGGTTTTTAAAGGATGGATTTTGAGATCATTAAAAATGCCACTCAGATTTCTAAAGACAATCCAGTCTGCTTCCATTCTCTTATCTGATTTTGGACCTGGTTTACTGTGCATCTTCATCGTCCATCTGAGATCTATTTATGGATGAACCAACTTAATAGACTGTCAAGGGCATGTTGTGGTGTAGACCAGATCTGGTTACTGCATGTCCATCACTCTTTCTACCATACCACATTGCCTCATCATTCATCACCTAATTTTTTTCCTGTTTGGATTATTGTATCATTAAGGAGGCTCAGCAAAGTTTGGGACTTGATAATTAGTACCATATCATCCACCAGGGAGAGCATCTGAAGGACAAGGAATCCATCCTTCTATCTGAACTCCATGTGGACACCATCCACGTGGACACCACAGGATGCCTTCAATAAGTATTCATTTCCTAAGTGCCTTCTGTGACCTGGGCACTGTACTAGACAAATAAGAAAAGGAAACAGACCTTATTCTTGAGGAGCTTACGTTATTTTAGGGATAGAAGAGTTGAGGTAGGAATATGTCCTAAAAAATGGAATACAAAGTAATATGAGATATTTTGGTGAGAGTTCAGCAATAGTAACTGAGGGAATCAGGTGGCTCAGTGGATAGAACTCTGAGTCTAGAGTCAGGAAGACCTATGTTCAAATCTATCCCTAGAAACTTACTTGTGTTACCCTAGGAAAGAGACCCAACTACTGCCTGCCTCAGTTTCCCCAACTGTAAAATGGGGATAATAATAGCATCTACCTCCTAAAGTTATTGTGAAGATCAAATGAGTTAATATATATATTTATAAAGCACTTAGCACAGTGCCTGGCATATAGTAGGCACTTAATAAATATTTGCTTTCCTCCTTCTTGAAGAAATCTAGAGATTCAAGAAGGCAGAGGTGAGGAGGGAGAGCACTCCATGAATGAGGCATGTCTATGCAAAGTCATGGAAGTGGGAAATGGAATGCCTTGTACAGGGAACACCACATGGTCCAGTTTGGCTAGAATGTCAAGTGCATGAAGGCAACTATTAATGGGTTTACCAAGCCTGGAAAGGCCAGATTATAACAGGTTTTAAATGCCAAAGGAATTCCTGTTTTATCCTGGTGGTTTTTGAGAGCCACTGGAACTTATGGAGAAGGAGAGTGATATAGTACTTTAGGGCCTGTGTTTTAGGAATTTTAATCTGGCTTGCGTGTGAAGAGTGGAATGGAGAGGAAAAAGATAGAATTCAGGGAAGCCAATTAGGAGCCTAGCAAGATAGACGAGGCAAGAGGGGATAGGGACCTCAACTGGGTGAGTAGAAAGAAGGGAGTAAATGCGAAAGGTTTTGTGAAGGCAGAATTGACAAAACAAGGCAATTGATTGACCATGAGGGACGAAGGAGAGGGCAGAATCAAGGATGACTGAAAGGCTGTGAATCAGGATGAGAGGAAGGATGGAGATTTCCTCAACAATCAATCAATAAGCATTAGTCATGTTCTCACTATATCACAGTGACTGTGCTAGGTGGTAATAACTGAAATAGGGAAGTTAGGATGCTTTGGGGTGAAAGATACTGAGTTCTGTTTTGAGAGTTTGAGATGCCTATGGTATATGTGGTTGGAGATATCCAATAGGCAATTAATGAGATGGATTTGGAATTCATGAAGGAGAATTGGGCTGGATATGTATACCTGGGAATTGTCTACATAGAGATGAGAACTGAAGTCATGGAAACAAATGAGATCACTGAGAAAAAACTGAGAGAGAAAAGGAAAGGACCCAGAGCAGAGACCTGGGGTACACTCACACAAAGGGATATGATGATCCTGCAGAGGAGAATGAGAAGTATTCAGATACGTAGGAGGAGAATCAGGAGAAAGCAAAGTCTTGAAAACCGAGGAAGGAGAAAGTGTTTAAGAGGAGGGGATGGTCAACAGTGTCAAATGCTGTGGATTAAAAAGAAAAAGTTTGGAATGTAAACTCAAGTTGACAATGAGCAAATACGGTCATCAGCAGAGATAACAAGGGTTATAACTGTTAAATGGTATTTTAGCAACTGTTGGATTTCTGGCTTCCAAG